TTTACTAAAAAAATAAAATTGGTTGTGCATGAATAACTAAATTTTGTGTTTGCAAACTGTTGAGTACTGTATATCACAACCATGGAATCTTTGCAGGCTCTTAAGTAAAATCTGAAGATGAAGAAAAACATGAAACCTCGGCATTTGGAGAGAGATTTGGATAAATCCATCTAATGTAACCACAGTTTTTATCATTAGGAGTGTCACACTTTTCTGAAACCTAAGGAATAGATTTTAAAACATTCAGTTTTATAGTTAGTATGGTTTGTTCTTCAGTGCCAAAATTGTATCATTTCTGATGGAGGAATTGAAGTGCAAAATAGATCTTTTGCACTTTCCTGATATTTAATGAACACAAGTCAGATACTAAGAGGAATACCAAAGTTGAAAAATGTTGGTAAAATTATCATCTTTTATCTTTGAATGATTGTTAATGTTTTTAAAATCTGAGAGTTTCCAAAAGTTGAGAGCTCACAATTGCCGTAAGAAACATGGGTTTTGCATTCTTATTTCATACACAGGGCTCAATTTAAAATAAAAAAAAATTACTTTTCAGAGCTGGAATTTAATATATCGAACATTAAATAAAGTCACATAAAGTGTATGTGAGCAAGGTGAGAAAATGCTACCTTTTAATGTAGATCAGTCTTGTCAACATCTGCATAATGTATATAGAACATTTACATCCTACAAAGCAGCGTAGACTGCAATGATTTTTGTTAAGCTACAGCTGCTAAGCGGATCAGTGGATCTTGAAGGGTCTGGTTTATATATATGAGGACTTAAAGATTTTAAACACTAAGCAATTACAAAGCAAGTACAAAGAAATTAGATGAACAATTTTTGAAGTAAAGCACTATCCAAAAACTGTATTATTTTGACAAATCTTTATGAAGTTTGTGAAACTGTAAACAAAATAATTGTGCAAGGCATGGCTAAATATATTTTAACTTTTCTTATTTATTGATGACACTTTTTTCTCCTGGGGAAATTGCTCTCATTTTACAGAATAAGAAATCTTTATCCCTGCCTTTCTAAGTTGTTTTGTATTTTCCAAATTAGAAATTGGAAAGTGTATTGCCATGGCTCCTATTTGTTTTTTTCCCTTATTCACCTATGCTACTGCAAGTATTTTGGGAGGTCCACTCCAGAATATGGGTAGGTACCTAATGAATTCCTTCAGGGATTGTGATGGTGCTTTCTGCACAGATGTTTCTAGACTTCTTTGCTGTAGATGTATAATGTATATACCATGTATAACAACCTAGTAAAATGTCTCTCTCTTCCCTCTCTCCCGAATCCCTCTCCCCACCCCACTGTTAAAGATTCATAGAAATTCCTTTTCTTTTCTTATTTATATTGTTTATCTGAAAGGCATAATGGATTTAGGAAAAAAATACCAGGTTAAGTCAAAGTAGTTGGAAATATATTTCTCTTGGAATTTGAGGTAGGAGGAAGTGGCAGAAGTTTTAGGTATTTCTGGTCTCTGAGTTTGTGAGGTCTCTTAGGACTGTTTTCTGAGACAAAGTAGTGTACTACCACAAAGAAGGCTTTTCTAAGGAAGAGGGAAAAGAAATATGCCCTATATTGCTCAGCCTGTGCGGAAACTGCTGTTGACTGTTAAGGAGATCTAGCTGGTGTACATATGAAGCAATACAAAGACTATGTACATAAAGTTACAGAAATAAATCTAGTCTTCTTTCTCCTTTTGCTTTTAGCATTTCTTATGGTTGTAGATTGTTCTATACTTGTCATGCAGTTTTAATGTATTCAAAGGAGCATTTTTAATTGTATTCCCACTAAAATGAAAATGCTATAATGAAATCGCGCAGTTTCTCAAGCTGTTTGATGAACTAGTGTCCTGCTGACATTGGTCTTTAAATTTCCTCTGAAACTGCCTGCATTAGTTGCACAGTTGGCTAAGTTCTTATTTTACTATTTTAATTGATTATTAGTGATTTGGAAAATCAGACATCATCTGTAAACTTTGCAGATGACATTATTTGTTTATGAAGGGTGGAATTTAGGATATTATATTGGAAATTATAATTATATAATATAATTATATAATATAATTATATTGTATTTAGAAAATTATATTGATTCAAAACTTTGAATTAGTGATACTTGCAGACCTGAATTACAGCATTTAACTTTTATATCTCAGCTTTACAGTCCTTTCAGGGATGCTGGCTATATAGAAACCTTCTTAGCTTAAGAATTCCCTGAGCAGCAAATGCTCGTGACTAGGAAAATTCTCAGGAAGCATTACCGAATCTTAACTGATTCTTTTACTCTTCCCATGGCATCAACTTTTGGTCAGCTTTGGAATCAGAATACTGGGATAGACTGAGCTTTACAATATCCACTATGGATACTATATTCTTATGTATATGGGAAAATTTAAGAGGAATTGATAGAGGAAGAAAATCTGAGGTTTAAAATGAAACAAAATAAATGTAGGAAATGTTTTTTAAAAAGCTCGAACTATCTTAGTTATGAATAAGAGTTATTACAATGGTTTAATTTAATCTGGAATCACACCACTAAAATAGAAATCATAAGGTCATCTTATAGTATTTGTGCAGAGGAACTAAGAATGGCTTGGAATGCTAATTATGAACATGGGATACCGCTCCCATAACCTAATGTGCTTGGATTTCTTAAATAAAATCATAATTCTGATTTTTTTCTAGGTTTTTATACCAGTTGGTTTTGGGATAATAAAATCAACTGTAGTTACCGTGAGTTAATGATATGTCTAGGTTTCTTTAATGATAGAGAAATAGGCAGAAATTTTCATTTTATATTGGCACTTCCAATATTACAGAACTTACTGTACTGTCTTTTGAAGCAGTTTGTTATGGTCATTGTCAAATACAGACTTGAAATCACTGGTTTTACTCAATTTGTTAAAATTTTAATTAATATTTGCACATTGTCACTAAAGATTAAGTATAGTCTCTCTGAGTATAATTAAATGCATGTATAAATCCCAATTCTGACTGGATTAGAGAAGGTGTTACGAAGAAGTAGCATGTGTAGGCTTTGAGCTCATTGTTAATTTTAAACCTACTGCCTACTTACTTTGGCTAAAGTAAATACAGCAAGTGTGCCAACATTCTTAAAAACTATCTTTGGTTCTTTTTCCTTGCTCTTGAATCATGGATTTGGCAACATCTAAAATGAGGATACAGTATATTTTCCTTTTTGAGGTTTGAGTGGGCCATTTAGAACACCTGTATTGGATGACATATTATTACGCATTTCAGTGCTGTTCAGTAACATGAAAGCAATGTGATTTAGTTCTGAACAAACATAATAAATGGTGTCCTTTAAACAGTCTGTACTAATTATTAATAAGCTGTAAGGGATGTAAATTGGTTATTTAATCTTTCCTCTTGCTCCGGGGTAGGATCAAAGAACTAATTAGGACTTGTAGCTATCTAACATGTTCTTAAAGACCTTCAGTGATGGAGATTTCACATCGTGCTTGGAAGTCTTTATTCCACTGTTTTACTATCTTTCATCATTAGAGTTCAACTTCTCCATTGCAGTGCAGAAGATACAGCTTAGGGTTAAAACTATTTCTACTTGTTCTGTGTACAGAGAGGTCAGCTATACTTTACAGCAGTGTTTTCCTCATAGATATAGTCCATAAACTTCTGATTATTTCTCCCTCCTTTGGACTCTAATGGCCCCATGTCTTTCTTGGCATGCAGTGCCAAAACCTTTATTCATTACTTGGATTGGGTATTTACCAGTACTAAGAAGACCAGGTAATTACTGTAAAGTAGTATTTTTGTTTGTTTACTCCGGTATGCCTTTCTTACAAAGGCACGATATTCATGACTTCTGGTCTGTTGTGATGTCTAGAACCTTTATTTAATATAACTGCTCTATATCCAATTTTTCTCCATTTTGCATTTTTGCTGTTGATTAATATCTAAATTAAACTTACTGCCTAAGCTTACGATCTCTTTCTTACCCTTGTTCAATGTTTTTTTTCTTGAGATCATTTTTCTAATTTGACAATATTATTTTAAAATCTGCTTCTTTAAAACATTTTTTGATGATGAAACATTGATAATTGTATTCTGAGAATGTCTTTCTATTCAGTCATGCTGCAGCCGTTCTTGTTCTGTAATAACTTCTTCTAGATGTAATGGTAATTTGTGTCTTTGTATGATTCTCAGTTGACTGAAGTGTGGCTTCTATATTGGGACTACATCATGTAACAAAGAAAACCGTTCTTACTCCTTTTTCCTCTTCTAAGATTCTTAGAAATACCCTGTTTTTAATTTACATCCTGTTTATCTTTTAGTCTTCTTTTACCTTACTCATCCTTGACAGGTTCTTACAGGTAATTGCTGGTGGCTCTGAGATGTCTGACTGTCTTGTGATAGATATTCGTCAGATTCACCAACTTGAAAATAATTATTTTGTCTAGAGGCTGTGCTATACATTACAGTAGGTAGCCTGTGAAGAGGAATTTACTTATAGCCAAGATCCTTAGAAAATTATACTAGTGATTTAAGTGTAATGCTCTGGAAGATACCCAAGTCTTGGTTCATCTGGCCTTAAAAGCTTGAGATCCATTTGGAAAATTGGTTCAGGTAAAGATCTATCTCAAAAGATGTATCTGAACTTTTTAGGTTCTACTAGCATGTAATCTGTGGTAGACATTTGTGATTAAAATTATTTCTGTTTGTGATGTCCCTGTGTATTTAATGTGCTTGTCCTCTGTTGCTTTTCACTTCATGATATTGGAGTACTTGAGCTACAGTCTGCTCAAATCAGAAATGTATGACAAAATGAAAGGTAAGAAGACTCAAGGGTTAGTGCTGACTGCCTCCAGTTAAATCTTGTGCGTGAAAAGGGAGAAAGCTAAGCTGATTCTCAATCAAAACTGTTAAACATATGTGCACTGGTACCTTATTTGTATCTTTCACCATTTGTTTAATAAATTACTTTTCTCTCTCTCTCTTTTTTTTTAACAGAAATCTTTTGGACAGAGACACATTTTCAAAATCTGATCCGAGTAAGTATAGAATATTTTATTGTTTTTCCTCATCATGTATAGCAAATGTCTAGACACTGAATTAAAAATTATGGGATGATTGTCTTCCATGCCAATTAAGTACCCTTTGCCTTTGTGACAATTGTTTAAAATAGCGCTAGAAGTGCTCATAGTTTCTGTTACAGGAACTGGAGTTTTAAAGGCTCTATGTTCCATTACTACTTCAGTGAGTTATCTGGTCCCTTTTTTAGCAAACAACCTCCATTTACCTGAATGAATGCAGAAATATCTTTTGTCTTTTTGAAAATCTCTTGTTCTAGATCTCGTTCAAAACTAGTAAGCAAACTCCTAGATAGGTTTAATTTAAACCTTTTTTTTGCTCTTGCCGCTAGTACATGATGTCTGCTAATCTCAGTGTCAAAAGCTGGGAAATAAAATTGCGTTAATTTGTCCTTGGGAAGCATGACCTTTCTTGATATGAGGCTTGTAGATAATATGATGAGTTATAGGTTCATATTTTCAAATATGTGAGAGAATGACACCCATTTTCCCCTCAAGTTTCGTGAATGAATGACTGCATCTTAACAAACTCTCATGTCTGTATGCAGTTTCAAATTCACTGAATTTGCAACCATCAAATCTCACACTGTAGATTAGTTCTGCATATGGAGGTTCCATTAGATTTGACTAGGTCAATTCTGATATGCTTTTCAAACGTCAGTGCACTCATCTAGGGATGCTACTGATGGCAAAAACCCAGTTTTATCCTCCTAGTATCTTGCTCAGAGGGGGATACACATTAACACAGTTGACACCCATGTCCACATAAAGAGACTTCTCCTGAAACTAAAAATGAACTTTTGATTTCTCCAGTTCTCTCTGGAGACTTATTTTGCCTTTTTTGATACTATAGCTCCTATTCAGTATTGATTCCAGTTCTGACCACTTCCCTGCGGTCTAGAAGATTCATGCCAAGAGGGACCTGGCAGTTTGCCAACCAAGAGGCAAATTACAAACGTAGTGTAGAGATACTAGATGTAGATGGCACAAACTTGGATGTCTGTATTCATGAAGTATTTTAAACAAGTTTCTTACTGACAGTGCTTTGTCCTCAGTGTTGTCAAAGGAAGTCATATATGCTGACTTACTGTTGTATTTGGATCATTCCACATTTCCAATTTGGAGAGCTTTTTCTTTTTTTTCTAGGAATATTTTAGAGAAAACCCTCTTTTTTTTTTTTTTTTTCCCCTGTGGCAGAGATGCAAAGAGGCTCCAGGAGATTAACGGAGACATCCTTTGGCATGTCTTTTGTTTATGGCAGTGGGGCAAAATCCTCCTCCTCCTGTGTGCTAACCAAACTTAGCTCAGAGGGTTATACAACAGTGGTAGCAGCACCAAAGTCGTAACTGACTATCCTCTTCTTGTGGAGCCCCATAACTGCTGAATAGGACAATATAAAGTATCTGATGTGAAGGAGTGTGAGGGTGAAAACTATTCTGCTGGAGGATTTTGCCATAGAAGATAGTAACTAGAGAAGACATTCATGACTCTTAGAATACAAGGACCTTCAGGAAGGTCTGCCTAGAAGGTGTAGAAACTAGGCATTGAAGAGTATCGGGGAGCTCCTCCTAGGGCTGGGTTCAGGATTATGGAAAGATTTTGGTAGCATGGGACAAAGGCCGACTTTGCTATGGCTAAGACTTTCTTGAAGGGGAAAAGACAGAATTTTTTAGTTGCGTTTAGGGGCAGTTTGGATATAATAATAATGCCCAAGCTAAAGGCGAGCATATGTGCGTTGAATGCAAGAGGACCAGAGCAGAGTAAAGGAGGCCCGAACTGTTATGGCAAATAAGAAGGGGACACTGTGCAATATTTTTGGGAACTAAAGATATAACTTAATGATGATCTTTGACAGTTTCCACCCATTTCTTCATTGAAAGATTTGATTGGCAAGATTTGATTCTTAAACTAGAGAGGTAGTCACATCCCGGGGTGTATCCTTGGAAGCACTGGGGAGCCACTGGGAGGGGAGGGGAATAGAACTCTACTGATGTCTCAGCAATGAAAAGCTGATAGCTGACAGCAATGAGGATAACAATGCTTACTATTAGTCCTCCAAAGGTGAAAAAGGAATAGAACTATTTCTAAGACATTGTGAATGCAAGAAGAAAATGATAGTGAACTGACCATGAAGAAGCACAATTTGGAAACTGGAAGGTCTCTCACAGGGAGATGTGGGCAGCCTTTCAGAAAATAAGAATGGAGTAAGAGAATGAATTAGTTTCAAGATGAATCTTTACATCTTTTTTTTAATCCTTTTATTTTGTGTGACTCCCACCTGATTAACCGTAATAGGGGACTAAAGTTGTCATTTTTGTTTTAGTCCTTTTGTTCATAGCTGTTCTTTTATGGCTTCACAAATTGGGGAGGTAAGGTAGTGTCAGGATGTTTCCCTTCCAGAAATTTCATGGTAGTGGCTACATTTTAGTTGCATTGTTACTTTCTTCTCCTTAATACTAAACCTCTTATGTTTTAATATTATTTTTGTTCCACAGGTGCAATGCACAATTGTTACTCCAATTACTGTCTTAACACTAATACACAGGACAGGATGCAGTGCAAAAAATAAGGAAATAGTTGGTGAAAAATGACTGTTTAAGAAAAAAATATAAAATACAAATACTTGTATAGTAAAAAGAGCTTATTATCTGTAAAGAATGGATTTTCCTCCAAAAGAATCTCAGTTGTTATCGTGACTGAGGTTATAGATATGAGCAATTTGTCATTGTAAGCTTAGATGTAAGGTCTTGATAAAATGGACAAAATACAAAATTATATCCACTTTTGAACTTAGCAGGGCATTTGTTCCCTTTTTTAATCTATGTAAACTTCCCTTGGTGACATTTCCCTCTTCTCCTGGATTACCTTGGCAGTTCTTAATAGGAGCAAAGGTTAGTCAGACGTTCACTAACCTTCAGACGCTTCTATAATTAATTTTGTAGATTCCATGTCACCCTTTTTTCTCACATTTTCCCATATAAATCCATTCTTTTTGTAATACAGTTCATCAGACAACTGCAAAGAGTGCTGTAAAAATAGGCTTGTTGGTTTTGATTCAGGAACCAAAGTTAGGAGCATAGTTGCCCAAGGTTTCATTTAGAGTACATGGAGAAAGAGAGGCATCTCTGGAGAATGGTTTTGAAGCTTTTTTGTAAAAGCTGATTTTTTTTTTTCTATAAGACACTTTATTTAAAAAACTTGACGTGTGTTAACATTTAGCTTTTAAGTCAAACTAAAATATTGAACTTGCCTTTTTTATGTTCTTCTTCTTATTCCCTATTGCCTAATGCTTATTTGATATGGAGCAAATACCTTCCCAGCAGAAAGAAAACCTAGTTTGGAGCTTTTGTTTTTGTTTTTGTTCTTTTTTCAGCTAGGTCAGTTGATGATTCCGACTTAACTGAGAATATAACCAGGCTTCTACCTTTATTGTTCAAGGCTGCAATCCAAAATATATAATAATATATTATATTTAACCTTCATCTAAAAAATAACGATTGGGACAGGAGAAGAATTTACCAGAAAAAAAGAGTTTGCATATCTGTATTTTCATTATTTAGGAGAGGGTTGTATTGACAGTTTTGAGTTAAGACTACTTTATGGTTGTTAGCTGCAACTAATTCAAGACTATAGAAAATTTAATTTGCAATACTCCTTCAGTACAAATAGTTTATACTCATCCTGGTACTTAAAATAGTGTGTAAAAGACCTAACTATAATCACTGTACCCCAGTCACCAATCCATGTGATGGAAGCGGCATATTAATGTATAGTGTGTTCTGTGTTGGAAGAACAGATGCCAAAGGAGTGAAGCCTGTGGAATTATGCTACTTGATCCTTCCAAAACAGCTGAGGTAGACAAACTTCATTGATTTCATTTTTTCATTAGGATTTAGCTAAAAAAAACGGGTGCATTTGTGAATACTCAAATATATGTGAATTATTTGTAGTAGAATGGAGAACTTATTTTTCCTTTTTCTCCTTTTATTTCCTCCGTTTCTTTCCTAGCAGGCCCTCATATGCTTTTATTTTAATTCCTGCATCTCTTCAAGGCAGCATAATTTAGGGTAATCATGCATTAGATTAACTAGGGTAGTCAGACCATCCACCTTTAATGAAGCCCTGTTTTTTTTTCCCTCCTAATTTTGCAATTTGGGATAGTCAAGTGATTTGCTGGAGGTCAGGCATTAAGTGTCATCTCCCGTTTTTGAACCACCCTATTTACTAGCTCGTTGCTGCAACAACTAGACCATACTGTCACCTATATGTGTAGGAATATTGAAAACTGAAGGCAAACATATTACTATTTGATTAGCCTAGTTACTAATTTCAACAGCACGATAGACTACAAAATCAGTTCATTTAATTTAAGAATACTTTAAATTTAGAAATTGACCTAACATTTCTTCTTTTCACAGTCTGTGTTTTGTACACACAAGCCATTGGAAACAAAGAATGGAGAGAGGTAAGATACATGTGTATATCCTTACACACACACCCCCCTATGTGTATATGTACTGTTCTAGTCTAAGCTGTATCTAAGGCTGCTCATTTGCCCTAATGGAAGAGGGAACATCATGGCTTATAGAAAGCCAAGCTGAACAATTGTAGTCCTACATTACCAGTAAAAAAATCAAACAACTCAGAACTTTATTCTCAGTTTCTGTATCTCATATTTCCATCAGGAAGTGAAAGCAAAATAAGAAAAAATACACAAGCTTCCTGTTTTCTACTCTCTCTGACAGAAATGAGGTCAAACTTACTATCTGGACAAGGTTTGTAAATATGGAGAGAGAGGAAAACACTAAAGCAGTATAAGATCTATAGCAGGATTTAGCAGTGGTTGTGTTTAGTGTCAGCAAAACTGACTTCTAGGTGTGGTAGGGACCTACTTTTCCTATATAGTGTTCAGGAAAAGTTAGATGCCTCTGAATACGCTATACACCGGGCAACAAGGGAGGCAGAATATTATGTATGGTTAGCTGCCTTACAGAGAGGCCATAGAGGAGTGAATTATCTTACTATTGTTCACTGTAAGAAAGAGGACCTGAAGTCTTGATTCTTGTCTTCAGAACTGATGTTTTATGTGATTGTCACTGAAGGGGCACAGAAACCAGACCTCTTCCTTTCTGTTTGGTGTTCCTGCCAGTTGCCTATGTTTTCCCTTTGCTGAAAGGTGGTAGATGTGGATTTCAGTTCTGTCAAGCTAAAGGAATTAATATTGTCTCCTGCTTGGACCAAAGCTCATATAACCAGGCTAATAGGTGAAATGCTGTGTGTACTCTATTTGTGGTTTTTAATTAAATTTCTGCTATCTTTTGTTCTGAACTCAGTGTGTCTTAGGCATCCTCTGACTATGCCTACTGGATTGTGTTCCTCTGATGGTTTGTGTGAAGAAATGTCAGTTTCAAGACCTACATGGGAACTTACTAATCTTCACTAAAGTGGCAGAAATAGTGGACATGCACAGAATTCTAAATGTTTGGATAGGTAACTCTAAAAACAAGGGTATCTTCAGGCATTCAGGTGCCTAAGTGTAGTTTTGGTGTAGTTCAGTAGTCAAGCCTAGATCATCATTAAAGCATCCAGATCCTCCTGTGGTCTAAGGCAAAGAGGTTTTTGTCAGAAATTCTGGCTTTTGTTATTGTCTAAAGTTGGTGTGTAATTTTGTGGAATTTTCATTTTTTTCTGGTGTAATTTTAAAGTAAATATTAACCGTTTTCCATATGATAGAGGGGCTGAGTCAGGACTACATTTTATATACATATATGATATTTATACCAGTGATAAAATGTATGGTGGTAGGTGGAAGATTAGTTGTTGTGTACTGTGAGATGGGTAATTTCATATCCTTATTTTTTGTGCTGTCTGCTGTGGTGAATGCAGTAATACTATATTTTTCAATAAAATTCTGTGTACGTGTCTGTTTTTGCAGCATTTAGACATGTATTTATAATACCATAAGTAATATTATTATAATGTATTTAATATTTAATATTTATTTAATAGCGCATAGAGGAGGAAGGCATCTGGAATTGTTTGGAGAGGAGGAAACTGCAAGACATGTAATAAACCCCTAATGATAGGTGTAGACATTAAAAGATAGTGTTCAGTCATGGCAACGTACTTTACATTGTTTCTGTTCTGTATGCTTTTATGCATAGTTGTCTTCCTTTATTAGCCTAATTAATTTCTTTTGAATGCTGCAGAAAATGCTTGAGGATCATAAACATAGCAAATCATATCATGATCTCTGCAATTTTCCCTAGCGCTCTATGTTAGCAGCATGCTTCTTTTTCCTTTCAGCCAAGATCTTAATTGATTCAATTGTGGTATATGATCAAATTGATTCAAAAGAATGGTTAAATCAAATCCTTCATTTAATTTCTGGGTAGATATTTTCTGGGCATTGACTGTGGTTTGCCTGTAGTAAGGTTTCTGATGTTTTTACCCAGTTTTATTCTTGCACACCAAATCCTCAGCAATAAATTAAAATATGTGATTCCCAATTTAATAAGATGTTGCTTTTCAAAACAGTTTATCTGTTACCACTTACAGTGTAATCAGGTATATTCATTAATTTAATTGGCAACAAATATATCATCAGAAACTGAGCTTTAGTTTTAAAAACATTTACTTGCCTTACTTTTTGATGACGCATTTGAAATATGGCTAAGTATAACTTATTCTTATCTGCAGAAGCTGTAAATAAAATTTAGGAAGAATATAAATTTCTTCATTTCAAAGAGGATCTTAATTCTGAAACCAAGAGGGAACCCTTCAAAGGTTAATGATAAGTAAATAATACACATTGGTGAAATACTCTACCAGCTGCAATTTTCCTGGCAATATCTAGCGGTGGCAAGTGTTAAGGAACTGCTTAGGGAACGAGGCTTTGAGCCTCTGGCCCACCCATTGTAAGAAAGCATTGGATGCAAATAAAATTTCTATACCTATTTAGAAGTCAGTTCTCTTGCTGGTCCTCCTCATGCTGACTTCCGGCTTCATGAGTTGCCAAATCTTACTTTATATCCTCAGTAAATTTCCATTGTTTCTTCTAAAATTGGTCATCGTGGCTTCCTATCGTCCAGGCCTTTCTATTCATTTCACATTTTCTTTTCACATTTTTTTTAATCTGGAGGAGATATGCTGGAGATAAGGAAGGAGAATTTGTTTTGAGTGAGTCATCAAGTTGAGAGAAAAGAGGTCTAGGCAGGGTTGCAGTGGAATCCCAAGACAGCAAACGTGGCCAGTTCATAAGGAAATGAAAAAATACTCTGTCCTGAGCTGATGAGCAGTACTGTGTACTGTACGCTGTACAGTTCAGCAGCAGAAAGACTTCTTCCTTTATGTGCTCACAACATCTTATTCAACCATCCTGAATTTTGTTTTACGTTAACTCTTACCTACCACAATAGTTTTTCATTCATCCACATGGAATTTAATCTGCCATTTTACTGTGTGATTACTCACTGATAAATTTTGTCTAAAAGTCTTTGTACTTGTTTTTAGATGTCGTTATCTTGTGTAATTCTGTAAAGATCCATTCATTTTGCCACTTTGTTTCTAGTCCTTGTTCCAGATCATTTAGGCATATGTTGCACTGCATGGGTCCATCGCAGGAGCTTGTTGAGACCTTGCAAGGAATTTCCCTCCAGTAGGAAAACTGACTGCTTGTACTCATATTTGGTTTTCTATTTACTAATAAATCAGTAAATTAGTACATTTTTGTAATAAATTAACAGTTATTAATAAATGATAATAATGACTATCAAATTATATTCATAAACTGATCCTCAAGAGAATCTCCTCCATGTTAGGTAGTTTAATTGATTTTGTTAAAGGATCCCGACAAAACATTTTTGAAAATTCATTTGCAATTCTCATGCATTCAGTGTAGTGTAATATACTTCTGAGGCACTTCATTTTTACGAAAGAAATGTTGTTTTTGCTGCAAGTGAGCACTTAATCACATGTCTGGTAATTATGCACTTCACTAGAACTTCTACCAGTTTCATTACCTTTTGTACCGTAATAAAATAGGCCTGTGTAGATTTCGGGGGCTGCCCTCAGTGAAAATCACAAAGGCTACGTGATTGATAATCCAAATTTATTGGGATTTAGAGGTTTTTTTAAGAGTAGTGGTGAAAGTTTCTGTGGAACAATGGGCTTGTATCTCCTTTAGCACAGGGACATGGCATAACTAGGAATGTAGTTGATAGCAGTCCAGTAGAAAAAGTTTCAATACAAAGAAGCAGAGGATGGAGAGTACCGGAGAAGCCTACACTGTTGCAGTTGTGAAGAAAGAATAAATCTTGCAGTTGCTTGATATTCAGTCGAGTGGAAAGCTTTCTCGGGGATATTTCTTGAATGAATGAACTGTTCGAGGGGAATTAAGCTATTTGGAATACAAGAAGTCATCTTCTTTCAAGGAAGTCACATTTCCTTTCAAAGAAAAGGGTTAATGAAAAAGTAAAAGCACAGGAAGACGAGGAATCCTTTCTGTTTTTTATATACTTATGATTGTAGAACCATCTGTTAAAAATGGTTACTAAGAAATCACCATCATCTGTGTATGGAATATACATATCTCATGAGCATGCCTGCGTGCATGTATTAGAGGAATATTATTGCTTTTCTGCTAATTAGAATGAGTTTATATATTGAAAACATTACTTCTCCTTTGGGTTAAACACACTGCAGTATACTTTATGATTATAATTTTTCTACAGTGGGCTCATCAGTCACGGAATCTTTTGTTTGTTTCCTTGTAGTCTTCGTAATTCTAATGATTTAAGACAATTGATCATTATTATAGAAAGGCTCAGGTTACTGTTATTGCATTTCTTCCCCCACAATTCAAGTCTCCTGTTTGTTCTACTCACTTGTAGTGGACCTAGATTAAAAACTTTGAAGTTAGGATTATCTTTTATTGTGTGTTCATATACAGTCTCGTGCATTGAGCTTCCAAGGGAGAATGTTACTTGGAGTATCCTAAGGAATTTTGGGAAGTCAACTAGATCAGAGCTGAGAACATAGTGTTAACTTAAACCATTCCTGTTCTTCAGTTTCCTGGAATTGTTAACAGAATATTAGGTTCTAACTATTCACCTTTCAAGAAAGGTGTTTAAAAGTCAAAAGACTAGAGAGAAAAATCATGACAGGATTAGATAACATATGCTGTACTGAAAAACTTGAGCTCAAATTATTTGCGTGATTAAAAGGAATTAAGGATAATTGTGATCAGCTATAAATATCAACAACAATAACATATTTTATAATGGAAAACATTTCTGCCTAACAAAGATATGAAAAGACCCAAAAGATGGAAAAGGAACTGAGATAAAATCAGGCAAGAAACAAGGAGTATGTTCTTCCGAATTAGGGTAATCAGTTACTGGAACAACTTGATTGCCATTGTGGTGGAACATTGTACATTTCAAAAAGTAAGATATGATGACATACTAAGAATTATTCTTTAGTTTAATCACAGCCATAGCATTGAAGCAAAAACTAATTCAGAGAATTCCTAAAGGAAAGTGGTTGGCTAGACCTTCATTACTAAAATAGTTTCTTTGCCTCTTCTAATTGAGAGGTATGGAACGGATATTGCACTCACCTGACTTGCTAGTCTTTTTGAACTCTGGTGTTAAGATGAAGGTTATGACTTTCCATTAACCTCATAGCCCCTTAGGCTGGATAACTAGATGGAGATGCTATAAAATTCGAATGACTACATTAAAAAAAAAAAAGCTTCTGCCAGGAAAGCTTTTATTATGAGTGAGCAAAGATTCTCTGTCTTGGGAAATGCAAAAAATGGATTTATTTTTTGATTTTCTGTGTTGAATATTTATTGTCCTTTAAATAGTTGAGTTGATTCTGTTACTCTCCTGAATGACATTTCTAAAGATATTTGCTTGCTGGCCAAGTTAAGATTTTACCTTTACGCAACTGTTAGTGGGAGAAATTAGGCCATGAGGAGAACTAATTAATTAGCAGCTATGCTGTTAGTCATAAGTGACTGGATTATAGAAATAACCTGTTCTGCTTAAAAAGGCTATAGTTAATAGGGAGAATAGATTTTAAAAGATGGTATTTAGTTTACCTGGAAATGTAGACTGGTGATTTTTAATGCCCAGTATTTTAGTATGTCATCTGTAAGGTAAATTTTAATAATAATTTGTGTATTTGTAGATATTGCTGCATATTTCATTTCATGAGCTGTATGAGCTTCCAGTTTTTCCTGGCTCCAATACTGTTGAATGCTATGAAGCATGCAACTAACAGTGGAAGATTTTCTTTACTAACATTGAGATTTATCTGAATGGAGGTGATGAAGGTATTTAAAAATTGGAAGGCTTCTCTTCAAAGGAAAGAATGTTTAGCCCAGGCAAGTGTTCCAGCCACAGGTATTCCCATACAAAGGCTAACTTTCTACTGCTGCAGACTTGGACGTTATAGTTACCAGCATTGGTACAAGAGAGTGCTTTTGTAGCATTTTGCCTGTCAACTTTATTTGATGACTTCAGAGAATGCCTTGAGCAATTTCTCAAGACAGTGACTTTTTTCATCCCAAACAAACTGTAAGCGTCAAATTATTTGTTCATGTTCTGATCTGTTTCCAGGTTCTTGTGCACTAAATGCCAGATCTCTTTTGAGATATTCAGGGAGTTTATTTTGAGTATCCAGTCTCTCATTTCACTCGGGAAAACGTCAAATCAATTTCTCCTCTCCACTGTATGGTGCTTGCCTCCTTCATGGCTGTTGTTTTGGCTTAGGAGAGTTTTAAGAAATATAGTGATTGCTAATGATCCTCTTTTCTAAAGAAGTTGTGTTTTAGGACACGTTCAGAAGCTTTCTTGCACAACATGTCAAAGTTCCAATGAGATCAGGAAATCATTATACTTATTGTTTAAAAAGTTATGTAAATTCTCAACAGAGGGGTATGCCATTGACACTATATGTTAAACATTCTTTTTATTTGGAGGGTATGTGGTTCATTAGGAAGATAGTTTTGCTTCTCTGTCTTTTATAGGAAGTGCTGGGATATGGAGATCTCTGAAAAAGACTGTCCCAGTTAACTGTAGACTGCAGTAGAACATCTCAGCACACAGAAAGTGAAGGTACCTGACAGGATTGAAGCACGCTCTGTAAAGCTGCAAATCACCATTTTATCACTTCTGAGGATTGTTCTTGTTTCTGAGACCTCACAGAGCTGTATCTTGAAGATCTGTTAATACTTTTGTTGAATGTTTTATTACGCTGGAGACCTTTGTTTGGCAAAGCATTCATCCTCCTAGATTCAGTCCCTCTCCTCCAGCGGATCTGTGTAAAGGAATGGTGCTTGGAGTCCCTTGCAGTTTGAGTGCATGTATGCACAATCATTTGAAGGGGAAAAGAATGTTACTGACGGTAGTGGAGACATGAATAACGTGCTTGGAGTTCTTTGCCATTTTATATTAATAGGAATTGAGCAATGAAAGGAAATTCCTGAGCTTTGAGAGGAAGTGACAGAGTATGCTCTGTCCTTTCATACCATGTATATGTAAGTATGCAGGGTTTGGGATATAAGGAGGTGGCTCCTACCTGAGGCTTAGGAGCTCTGTACAGATTACAGTAGTTAAGTTCACATCCTTGGTGTGGATGTATACCTTTTTAGAAAACGCATTTCCAAAACGTCCAGTTGCAAGAAAGTAACTGCCTTTATCTTTCTTTATCCATGTTTACTGATTTAATTAAGTCCTGTCAGTGAAGAGGTGGGCAGTCTTTGACTCATTCAGAGTTTGCAGTCCCAGATTGCAATTTTGAAGACTTCTTAAAGATGCTCTTTCAGTAAAATGTCAAGCACCTTTTCAGAAGGCTGTATTGAGTTATGTCTTGATCTGCTGACCACGTAAGATAAAATTAAATGATTCTTTCTGTAGTATCTCCTTCTTTTTTGTTTTTTTTCCGATTCAGACATACAATATCTTGAAACAAGAGCAAAATTATTTCTCTGATATTTTGTAATCAGTCATTTATATCTATGAAGTTTATAAATTAAACTCAGTTGAAAGTTACTTCTTTAAACTCCTCAGCTTGAAGAGGGCCAAGGCACTCTTCCTGTAAAGACCAAGAAAAAAATGGCAATTTGCAGAAAGGTCAGAGAAAGGGAAGACGGAGAGAGCTGCACTGGAGTGAAATAAGGGCTACATAATGCAAGAGTTGATAATGCACTTCTAATGGAAGGCTATACTCTCTAAGTGTATTCAAAGATATCTGAAATAA